TCGCAGGTGAGACATTCGCATTCGATTGCGTACCAAGGTTGTAGTTTGAGGAGACAAGTACAACGCGATTGAGGAATGCTGTGCTAATCTGCCCACGATGCGACATGGTAGAGAAGCTTTGCGCCAAGCAAATAGGGTCGCCCAGGCTCTCCTCGTGGCTTATGGCCTTTGTTTCTCGCGGGAAAGTTCAAGGCGGAAGACGGCGTCCGGGATACTGGATCTGAATTCCTGATGGTGATGATGAATCGACTTGTGCACCCGAGAAGACGAGGCCGCGAACACGCTTCAGAGGCCATGTTCGTTCTTTGGCGGACAATATCGCAGCTTGCTGGTGCCGTGTGACAACTTCCCCCTCCTCAGTGCTTCCGTGTTGCGTCAAGCGGCCAGCGCTGGAGTCTCGCCGAGTGTTACTCGAGCAGGGGTGTCGGTGTCCGTTTGTCTATGGGTGCAGAGACAGTATTCTCCATCAGGACCGTTGCAGTTCTGCGCCAATGTGCTTCATCGATATTTACCCCGTAGAGAGCAGGCAATTGCGGCAATGCTCATCTTGCCCGGTTCAGGAAGGGATCGAGAGGATTTCTGTGATCCCTGCCGCAGCTCCCGTACCTTACGGCCGATAAACTGAATGGACAGCCATTTGAACGGGGGGATCTGCACGTGGGCGCGGTGCCGTATGCAGAGATACGGGGAACGAGTCTCGGCGCTGTTGGAGGTGCGATGAATTGTCGATGAGGAAGATGGCCAAACGGGGGATCTTTCCGGGCCCGTCGCTGGCGGAGACGGCGGCATTCCCGCGTCGAAGACCGGCTGCAATTGTGTAGGTACGTAGGCAGGGGCGGCGGGATCCATCTGGCGGGATGCGAGTGGCTGTCTGGAGGCTTGGAAGCATGCAGCTGAGGTGCATTTTTCACGTCAAAATGTTCGTGTTGATGGAAATCGGCAGAGAAAGTCGACGCGCCAAGGTGCAGAGGAAAAAGCAAACATTGGTTTTGCAGCCAGGGGCGTGACAAATGTTTGCTTTGCTGTGCCTTCCCACTTTCCCCAGGAAGGGGCGACTCACGCTCTCTCGTTCTTTCCCCTTATCATCCAAAATTGCAGGAGGAGGCAGGTGCAGCGGCAGGGCCGATCGCTCTTGCTTCCTCAAGACGGGATGCTCTTTCTGTCTCTGAACGAGGGAAAGAAGGAAGCAGCGATGCCATCTTCACGTGTTTCCAGGGTGCTCCTGCTTGAGATTGAGCAGGTGCACTCTTGCTGCGTGCTTTCCTTCTGAACTGGCATGGTCCAAGCTCCAGAAGCACAGGCCAGTAGATCTCGCTTAGGCATGAAATAGTGGATCCTCTTGGCGGGTCCAATCATTGACATCACCACTGTCGCTGCACTGAGGCTGAAGCTGGGTTTTCCTCGACTCTTGATGTTTGCCCCTGAATATCCATGCAGCTTTGAATTCACTCGCGACGCCGCCAGTGAGACCTGATTTCTCCATCCAAATTGTTTGTTACATGATCCGTGCCGGCATAGTAAGAATGGCGAGAGCAACACGGTCCAGCACCCGCCTGGCTGCAGCCGCAAAGCCAGCCGAGGAATCCGAGTCCACAGCACAGCAATCAACGCCAGCGTCTAAGAGAAAGCGTGCATCACCGAAGTCGGCAAATGCAACTCCGTCCAAGAAAGTAAAGAAGGAAGAAGATGTGCCCACATCGCTATCTGATGTCCCGCCAACGACGCCTCTCAAGAAGGAAGACGTCAAGTCTGAAAGCCCAGAGAAGAAGCTGAAAGCCGCCAAGTCGCCCAACGACCTGCAGTCAAAGAAACTCAAGGCGTACTCGCAGTATGCCGATAAATCTCCCTTCCCGGACTTCCCACACCCGACCCCGGACGAGTGCCGGCTGGCCCACCGCATCCTCGCGGACCTTCACGGGAAACGGGAGCGCCCCAAGGAGGTCAAGGCCTCCACAACCCGGGCCGGATGTGGAGACTCGCCCTCCGTCCTTGACGCCCTTGTCCGGACCATCCTAAGCCAGAACACCAGCGACACCAACTCCACGCGCGCCAAGCGCAGCATGGACGACGTCTACGGCGGCAGCGATGAGTGGGACAAGATCGTCGAGGGCGGCATCCCCAAGCTGCAGGAGGCCATCAAGTGCGGCGGACTCAGCGCCGTCAAGAGCAAGGTCATCATCAGCATCCTCAACCAGGTCAAGGAGAAGTACGGCAACTACTCGCTCGACCACCTCTTCAGCGCCAGCAACGAGGACGCCATGCAGGAGCTCATTAGCTTCCAGGGCGTCGGCCCCAAGACGGCGAGCTGCGTGCTGCTCTTCTGCCTCCAGCGGGAGTCGTTTGCTGTCGACACACACGTCTGGAGAATCACGGGTCTCTTGGGATGGCGGCCGAAGAGCGCGTCGAGGGATGAGACCCATGCGCACTTGGACGTGAGGATTCCGGACGAGGACAAGTATGGGCTGCATATTCTGCTTGTAAAACATGGCAAGGTGTGCAGTGAGTGTAAAGCTGGTGGGAAAAGCATCGGCAAATGCGAGCTGAGGAAGGCCTTTAGACAAGAAAAGATCAAGCAAGAGGAGGAAAAGTCACAAGAATAACAGCGAATGCAAGCAACACCCGTATTAATCTTTGGCTTCCACTGAAGTTCCTGGTAGTTTAGCATCAAATATTCATGGCATTTCAACACTACATACCCTAGATTGTCTCGGGGATAGACTGCCGGCTCCTGTCGGGTATCCGCAGATAACGAACCCAGGTGTCATCGTGAGACGACATATATTCTATTTCATCATAATCCAAACATGTATACATATGCCTTTTCCGAACCGGCTCAAGTTCAATCCCACGTAGCCGCAAAAGTCGATCGGCGAAATGAATGTCCTTCCAGCTGTAATAAAGGCTGTCCGAGTCAACAAAGATGTGGCGGTCGAAGAAGTCCTCGATCGCAGGACTCGTGAACGGTTGCGTGTAGTTCAGAACGTCCATCTGCTCGACCTCAAAGTGCAGCTGGCGGCTTCGTTGTTCGGCCGTCGCTCTCCAGGCGTCGCGAACGCTGTCATCAAGCTGCAACTCCCCAGTGGTCTTGAACACTGCGGTAACGAACTTCTCATCAATTGTACACTGGAAATGGGCGTCCAATGGCGTAATCTCGTCTTCTTCAAGATTAGGATGCATAGTGTTTCGTTCATCACCCCACAGGTCCACGGATTTAAGCATGGGCATCCTGCCTGCTGCATGGGCCATTTGCAAAAGCATTTCGTTCGGCATGTATGTCAGAGGCAATCGGCCCCAACTGACATATTTCAGTTTCGGCCAATTCAAAGGTGACACGTTGCCGTGTGCATGTCCTTGACAAAAGCCTGTGAAATATTACTATCTAGCATCCTCGTTGCCAAGATGCAGCCTTTCAAGCATCGGCGCCAAAACAGCTGCCTGCCAATCTCGGTGGATGCTAGCATTACGAGTTTCCAACGACATTAGGCCTGAAGGATAAACCTCGGGGTTGGTATCTTCCAAGAAAGTGTCAAAAGTACCATTGCTGCCATATGAGAGTTCCTTCGTGTTGGACGACATGTTCCACAGAAGCATGTTGCTCAAACGGGGATGACCCACACCAGAGATGTTTCTGAACGAATCCATGTTATGGCATTGAGCACTTCCCTCCATGTGTATCATTGTTCGGAGCGCGGCGACACATTGGATTGTTCGCTGGTTGTCGTTTGACGAGAGAACGCTGCCGTACTCCAACAGGTGATGTCCACAGTCCGCAACGTCGTAAACCTGCAGTTCAAAGCAGGCATCTTCTTTCCAGTCTCGGAGTACATCCACGAAGCCGTCTACCACCTCCACGAAGGCTGCTCCAAGCTGCATACGCTGGGAATGGGCGTGGGAGATGCTCGTGAATGTGAATAAGTCGATGTCGACAACAAGACGCAGCGTCTTCAAATATTTGAGCCGAGGTCCACGCAAAGCTGCAGCGAGCTTCTGGGGGGTATGGCTGCCTGACAGAACGCTGTCGTTGGTGATGTAGAAGGTAATTTCCTCAAAGATGTAGGGTTCCATGATCTGGAGCCACTGGCGACAGACACTCCCGTAAGATGCGCGGTCTCCGTCTTCGTGGGCGAGGTATCCCAAGATCTGGAGCCTGAGCTCGTTCGGCAGATGATCCCACACTGTCATGGTATGTTGAACTTCGACGGCTGTGGATTTGATGATGTGAGGTAGACGACGGGGAAAAGAAAGAATTATAAATGGTGGAAAGTCGTCCTAGTATATAAGTTGGAATGAAGATTGGAAATCGGTGGCCCTTTAAATATCCTTTGGTTCAGACCCGACATGCGCCACTTCGGATTACACTTTCCAGGCTCCTGTGAGTGACTCAAAACGGCTGCGCAATCTAAAGCCTTCGGGGATCAAGGTCGCCAAGATGCGTCTCAAGCAGGACACATGTTTGCACTTCAGGACAGGCCCGTCAAATTAGGCCATCGACTATTACAGGATGTTGATCGGACACATTGGGTTCGGGGTCACACCCGACTACATTCCACGGACCAAGATGGATCTCATTCTCTCGCGAACATTGATTTCGTAGGTCATTACCGGGGAAGCGCCTCTGTCCGTTGCGGATGGCCAAGGCCATGGGGAGATATTGAATTAGCGGAGCTGCTTTCGGACTTTGGACAGGGAGACGCCTCTTTGAATCACAAATTTTATTTGGTCCTCCATACGTAGTGCCTCTCGGCGAATACTATTTGGCCTCATTTGGTCCTATGAACCTTGTTGGCCCTCGGCCTTCCTCCAAAGCTGCACCTTGGCCTCTGGGTCATAGTGTCTATTGAACAACACCTTATTATTAAGTTTGGCAGATAGCTTATGTATCAACTATTGAATTGCAATTGCAGGATCCTGGACGCAGTTTTTGAAAGAGAGGTGAGTTGCTGTATTACCCAACCATCATGTTTGCTTGAAATTCAAAGGCCATAATAGCAATGGCCTTCCTACCTAAGTCAACCACCCTGGTAACCTACATGATAGGAACTCCTTTGACGATGGCAGTGTCGCCTCTGTGCCTCTTCAAGTCTGAGGGATCATAATCACTAAATGGATCCACGTGCTTCGTCGCATCCTTAGGCCGATCGAAGTCATACTCCAGCTCCTTCTTCTTGTATCCGCGCTTCTTTGCCTGCAGGTACTCATTCGTCTTGAACACTTCAGTCTCCTGGCTCTTGTCCAGCCCAAGCCTTTGCAGGTACGGCGACTCGGCCATCGGCACCAGGAGCTTGTCGTCGTTGGGACGGGTGAAGAAGAGAATCCCGATGCGAAGCTTGGGCCGCTGGTCCACAGGCGGCGTCACGACTCGGTGGATGGTTGCTTTGAAGAGACGGCCAGTGAGGAATTCAAGCGCTTCGCCGACGTTGTTATCAATTAGCTTCAGTGGATACTCGTTCGAAATCCCGAATGACTTACTCGGACCCATTTCCACTGGTTGTGATTATCCAAGATTTGAAGAGCAGAGATTGGCTGCGAGAACAAAATGGAAAAGGTACTCCAGTCAGCATGGCCTGGCAAGAACAGGTCGCAGGACTTTTCTCGGTCGGCATCGTTGCGCGGCGAGTTGCTCATCTAATATGATACAACGTCAGAAGGGACCTTATGTCCAATAGTTGTCGGGGGAATAGCTAACATATCGGAAGTAATTCGTCGTCGAGCCACCCGGTCGATGCATGTCGAGCACAAGCTGCTCGGGAACCTCTAAGACCATGGCCACGAGAATAAGTAGTTTGCGATGAATGTCATCATTCAAAGTCTGCATCAGATGCCGCATCTCTTCCTTGAACGGGGAGATGATTTGCGGATGTGGCCGAGTTTCGAAGTCGTGAAGAAGCATATTGTAATGGTCGACCTGAGATACGATCAGTTTTGGGGAGTTCTTGATTCAAGCCAGAGCAAAAACTAAAGCCTGTACCTCTTTGTGGAAGCCAACCTTGGTGCCGAGTTCTCCAGAGGGTTTGAAGCCGACGTAGATGCCTTTCTGATCTTCCTCGGGCGTTCCTTTGGGCCGGATTAGCTTCGCCAGGATACATGGAGTCGGGCTTTTTAGGGAGGTTCACCTTCGTAAGGCCTCTTTTCTTCATTGCTCAAGGTCATCACCGCATTCGCGACGTCCATTTGGTGATCCCAGAGCTTTGTGGAAATGCCATGGTTTGAAATGGTGAAGAAGCCATGCTGGGTGACGGCCTGAAGCTAGTCCTTGGCTAGCTCCTTCCTGGTCTCTATATGTTCGAACTTGCTGAGGTCGAGATCGATAAGCTCTACATAGTCCACTGTACCAGTTAGCTGGTTCTACGTAGACCTAGCCGGATTCGAGGAAAGATGCTGTAAGATAACGGTGGCTAGCGAGTTGGGACGAATAATTTGACGCCGAAATGGGGCTTCGATCGGGCTACTATCAGGCATCAACAACAACTTACAGTTCTTTTTGGTGGGCTCACGGGCGTTCCATTTGGGAATGGCTGCAGATTCATTGGAAATAGGCATGATGGTCATTGAAGTTGATAAGATAAGACTAGTGCTCAATTGAAGTAATGGTGCACATTGTGGATTTCCAGATTCTCTACTCAGCTTTGATTGATCTTACAAGACAGCTATCATTCGGCCAACATTCATAGATGCCGAAGGCTGAACGACAATCAGATACCATCTGGAAGAAATGCGGGGGTGAAGGCGGAGGCGGAGTGCTCGTTAAGATAGCCGCATACATAGAAATAGGATCTTATACGAGTACTCGGATTCGGATTCGGTGTTCTTCGATAGGCCAGATGGGAAAACGATTGCCACTTCACTGATAACTTGGTAGCCCGCATCTCGTCAACATCAAAGGTACCCAGAATGCAAATATTCCCGGCTGCACAGCTTATCGCACACCGAACTCCAGCGGTTTAAATCAGCCGATATGCTAGCAACACACATATTAGAGGATGTATTGATAATAAAGCTCCCAGTGCCTCGCAGTTCTCTTGGAGTTCTCAAGCAGGGACAGCAGCTTGACAACAGACCGCATTCCGTCCATTCCTCACCTTTTTTGACCATCGATAGTCCTCTTTCTCACAATTATCTCAAGAGACTGGCTACGTCTCAGTGACACTCGGGTCAATATGGCGCCCAAGACGGACGCAGATGTCTTGCCCGTCAAAAGCGACAGCGAAGCTCCTGACATTGACGTCGGTCAAGTGAAGCTGATGGACGACAGGGATGTTGATCCAGCTTTGAAACTCACAGGCGGTGTCGTGATCGAGTTCACACAGAAGGAAGAACGCCAAAGCCTGCGAAAGATCGACATGAACATGCTGCCACTCATGTGTTGGGTGTACATGATTCAGTTCGCCGACAAGACGACGCTCAATTATGCTTCTCTGATGGGGATTCGTGGAGACACCAACCTCAAGGGAAACGAATTCTCCTGGATCTCGAGTATTTTCTATGCAGGTTATCTTGCTTGGGACTATGATGTCCTGCCCCTTCTCTCTATCGTGACCCGCTCAGTGATGGATACTTGTGCTAATGGTTGTATCCATCTTGAAGGTTCCCCACGACGTACCTCTTTCGCCGCCTTCCCGTGGGCAAATACGTATCAGCAAACATCCTGGCTTGGGGCGTCGCCTTAACATGCCATGCCGCTACGCATAATTACGCTGGCTTACTGGGCACGCGTTTCTTCCTCGGGGTATTCAAAGCAACAGTCACGCCCGCCTTCGTTTTGATCACATCGATGTGGTACAAGCAGGGCGAACAAGCCCGACGAGTCGGATACTGGCTGTCATGCAACGGGTTCTCTCTGATCATCATGGCTCTGATAGGCTATGGACTGTCGGCGGTTGAAGAATCGTCAATCGCGCCATGGAAGATTCTTTTCCTTGTTCTCGGTCTTATCACAGTTCTAATTGGAGCCTTCAACCTTTGGTATTTACCCGATAATCAGGCCAACGCCAAGTTCCTAGATGATCGACAGCGTCTGATCGCAATCGAAAGAATCCGCGACAACTTCCAAGGCATTGGTAATCGAGTATGGAAGTGGGACCAGTTCCGGGAAGCCTTTCGCGACCCAAGAACCTATCTTTATGCCTTGTTTTCATTCCTGATGAACATAACCAATGGCGGTATCACAACTTTTGGTTCAATCATTGTCAACTCCTTCGGATTCAACGCCCGACTCTCACTCCTGTTGGGCGCCCCATCCGGACTCTTCGATATTGGCGGAAAACTTTTGTTCACTTGGCTTTCCGACAAGTACATGGACCGAACCCTATTTGCATTCGTCGCAATTATGTTTCCTCTAATCAGAGGCATCATGATGATCACAATCCCATTGTCCTCAAAGGGAGCACTTCTCTTGAGCTATTGGATGATTAGCGTTTCTGGGTCGTCTTGGGGGTTGGTCATGGTTGCCATCTCGAACAACACTTTAGGATACACCAAGAAGGTCACTGTTAACAGTCTGCAAATTATTGCATATGCAGCTGGCAATTGGATTGGTCCACAGACATTTCGGGCGGACGAACCCCCCCTCTACAAGCGAGGAAAGATGATGGTGGCCATTATGTATGGCTGTGCAGCATTGGTACTGTTGGTTCTCCGTTTCGTGAATATTCGGGAGAACAAACGAAGGGATCGTTTGGCGGCAGTATCAGGAGTCGAACTGTCTGAGGAGACGGCTGCGCTGGAGCTTGAGCGGTCCAAATTCATGGACTTGACAGACTTCAAATTGGCTCACTTTCGCTACGGTCTTTGATCGGTCGGGTTTCACAAGGATCATTAGGTGCAAACGCTGCACCCTTACAATGTCAAAAGTAATCTCATCGTCATCGGTACAGTTGAAATAGCATCATCAAGGCCGATCGGCATTTCGCATTTGCTCTCAAACAGACGGCCTTAAGCCTTTTCTACCCCCGTGCTAGCTGTCTTCTTACCCCCCAAACTTTTAATGACGAAGGAGACCGCTTTGGGAATTCCAAATCTGGACTATAAACTCGATCCCAGTCTAACGCCAGGCTGAAAGGGGCAGAAGGCTAGTCTGAGAGACTGCGCTGTGATGGCTGAAATAGGTAACGCTACCGTGTTGCCGTAGTCGCGCTTTAAGCGACGGTCTGTTCTGGCATCATGCTCAGTGCGCCCACGTATGCTAAAATAGGTACTCGGTAATGTCCATACCGACGTCAAAATACTCATTGTCTTCGCTTCAGGACGTCATATCTTCAACGGCTACTTTCTTTAAAATGCCCAACGCTCTGCGCGTGGAGCCCAGTTGTTCGGACTGGCAACGTCGAAACATTCTCCTTGCTTTTTTATCCTGAATTGAAAGAATCTCTTCCAAAATAAATACCCATCAATTGAGTGAATTTCCATCGGACTTCATTTTCTGTTGACTTGTTGCAGCTCTGGTGAAAGACTTGGAGTAATCCGTTAGCTCTAGGACGGGAAGCGAGGTATCACAACTTTTGGGCAGTTGAATGACACGGAGTATCCCATCGCGTTTCGAGCTTCAGACGTTGTACATCTGGCGCTTGCCGAACTGTGTTTGAGGTTGTAACTGCCACCTGCTATTCTCGGATTCTCGCAGGGGTTGCCATGATTCGACGTCCACCTCGGGTCCAAACAAGCGATGCCACCCCATCCAACACGGTCACAGTCTGAAACTTGACCATCCGGCCATACCGATCAGCCCTATATTCAGCTGCCCGCCGCGCATTAAACATTTGGCTCACCGCCTGTCATCTGAAAAAGTGAACAAGAGTACCCAAACGGTTGGGGAAAGCAAATTCGTATGTGGGACGGGAACCTTCGATGACAGTAATGTTGCTTCTCTTCGTGAATCGTATGCTTGGTCAAGATGAGTGGGAAATCAGCAACGAACAGCTTGATAAAAGACAACCTTGGTTCCAAGTGATCAGTTTGATCCAAGTAAAAACGAAACCGAGTGATGTGCTGATCAGCAGAAACCGATTCGCTAATGCAGAAAGTCTGGAGGGGAGTATCAACGCTTCCCCGTGTGACGCTGGCCCATGCGGGTAGTTAAGCATACTATTAACCACTTGACACCTTTGAAGCCCACCAACGTCGATCATACTCCTCAAAGCTGGGGACAGCTGAGACGTCTCACGGCTCCCACTCAGATCTCCGCGCCACTCAGCAGGGGACTCTCTCTCTTCCCTCAACACCAGTTGCTGTCATACTCAGTGAGGTAATCCAAAACTCTATATAACTTCCACGCTGCCACCCCAACTGATACCGTTACTTTTGTTATTCATCCAGTCTTCTCACCTCTCTCAATCAACTTCTATTCTCATCTGTTGCCGGTCAACAAGTTTACCTCCAACAATCCGCTTTTCCAAATCTTAGTCAAGATGCAGCTGTCCATCACTTCCATCGTCGTCACGCTCGCCGCCATGGCCTCGCTTGCAGCTGCCGCTCCGGTATGACACAGACTCAACTTTGATGCGGACTCGAGTACTAATATGCAACTCTAGCAACAAAACAACGCACGCGAGAACTTCAAGAACACCAAGTGCAAGAGCCAGGCATGCAAGGACTCCGTTGACTCCGGATGCCCTCTGTCTAACATCAACTTTGTGCTTGGTGGCTGTGACGATCCCAGCTCCTAAACGGTCCATTAAGCTGCGTAGCACAAGGAATGTCTCGTTTCAACTACTTTCTAGACGTTAGAGGGTGAATAAAGAATATTGAAGTTGATGTTATGCTTCTGGTGCGCCCGGCTGCCGTGTTAATTAAACCTCAAAATGCATGATTTTTAGCCTTCTAGAATGACCAATTACAGTCGTCATGTGACATACTAGGCTACAGAACTTCACCTTGCTGACTGCCGTCGTCATTCCATTGGCCCATAATCAGGCGACACTCGCGTGCGGCTACCGAGCTTAATACGAGTGGAGATTCAATGCGAAACCGGTCTTATCACGGCTCTTTGCCATAGCTCCGGAATGAGGTTCGATTGCTTCTTTTTCGACGATCATAATTCTTGGCATTTGACACTCAGCGGGAAAAACTTTTCAGCCACCTACGACAACACCACGTTCACCGGACACCGTCAGACCAGCCAGCATCTCTGAAGCCGGTGACGTTGTTGAGACACTTCCCAACAGTTAGGAAACTTCAACCGCGATTCTTCTAGCCCCGGTCGCGTCGAAAACGAGTGCAGGCCGCCAGGACTAGCCGACGGTGGACCAAAATGCGGTTGCGCGGGAACGCGTGGGAAAAGTAAGCTTATCGCTCACGGACGCGCCTATTCTGGGCGCACGATCATGGAATCTGCCGAGCCCCTATCCAAATGAGCCAAGTCGCTCATTAGCGGGAGGCTCCAGCCGGCGCCGTGCCATCGGTGCGCAGCGCTATCCTTGAGGACGAACAACAACAGCCAGGGTTCACGACCACGTTTTCGTGATCTAATGTGAGTTTCCGTGGGGCCAGACCATCCAAGTCAGCGACCTGCCGGCTTGGTGCCAGGCAAACCTTCTACCTCGAACTTTGGGCTGCATATCCCAATTTTTTGGCGGGTTGCCACTGCAGGGGCACTGATGCTCTTTTCTTCTTCCACCGGATTGTTTTCCGTTCACCCATGTTCACGATGTGCGGTTCCGTGGCGGCGGTATGCATGTGCTCAAGGTAAGACGGCGGGCCCATGCGGTGTTTGCTTTTCCTCGTGGTTGCCGAGGCGCTACTCGGTCCCTTGCATCACACTTTGTTTTTTAGGAGGCAAGGAAATGATAAGCTCTGAGATTTTCATCATGGATATAATAAGGCCAGCGTAGTGTCCAAATTCTTTGGGACCTTTCTGACAGACAGGACAACAACTCCATCTTCACCTTCATTCTCTCAATCAAGGGACATCATCCGATCACCCAGCTGCGTTCTTTACATTTATCACATTCGTTCAATCAACACTCTCACTTCTATCAAGATGAAGTTCCTGGCCGTTGCCTCCCTTGCCATCGCGGCCTCTGCCGCAGTTGTCGAGAACAAGTTTTGCAATGCCGACAACTGTCTTCGCGCCGTTAGAGCGACGCGTTTCGGAACTGCTACGATGGTCCTTCGTATGGCGGAATGTAGCTCATACCTTGCCGTCACTGAGACTCCCCAGCCATCGTAAGTTTCTTTTCGCATGTCACGTCAAGCGGTGCAGAGTTTCGACTAACAATGACAGCACCACGTTTGTCACCGAGACAAGCATCGAGACCATCACGCTGAACGCTACACGGACAATCTTCGACCGTGCCGTTGATACCCCGGCCTCCACCACCAAGAACATTCCCGCCTACGCAACGGCTTGCAAGAACGACGCCGCATACCGCAGCGCTTGCTCTTGCTTTGGTGCCACCGGCGTAACGACAATGGCCCCTATCCCGATCATCACCTCCACCATCTCTGTTGTCGCAACCACCACTGTTGGTCCCTTTGTCAATGCCACCCGCCCCGCCCTCGGCTGCAGCAACCCTTGGACCTGCGGTGACAAGACCATCCCCACCTGCTCTCTTGACAAGGCTGGCGAGAAGGGATGCGTCTGCTTCAGGACTGTCGAGGGCAGGGATGTCTGCGCGGTCCCCAATGACTGCCAGCCCTCCTGCAACACCACGAACGACTGCTCTGGTGGTGAGGTCTGCATCAAGCAGAGCTGCTGCTTGGGCGGCACCTGCATGAAGGTCGACGTTTGCTTGAACCAGATTCTGCCCAAGATGATGTTCAAGAAGCGTGCCGGAGCCGGTGCTTGGGTCAAGAGGCAGGGCAAGTTTGACTTCTCGAAGCTCAGCTTGTTCCCTCACGATGCTAGCTTGGAGCAGTAGGAGTCGTCTGTTGATGACTTCACCTACTTTAGGGGAAGATGACCGTGGCGAGCTCTTTTGAATATGTAAATATGCGGATACCCTTCCAAACAGCAGACTTATAGACTTTTAAATATTTTCTATTGTTTAATTGCGACCCTCAATTTCAAATTGCAACGTCCATCCAGCGTTTTCGGCGTTCTGTAACACGGACTCACACCCACCACACTCCCCTGGTCTTATCACATTCATTCCGCCAAGTCCGCGATGACTTCCTTTGCGCCCCTGATACCAGCTTGCACCGCCCCTTCCATGTACCCTTTCCAGACGAGAGATGTCTCGGTTCCGATGAAATGGATGTGGCCTACGGGCTCGCGAACAGCCTTTCCGGCGTCACTTGTCAAGACTTCTGGGCCCATGACTGGAGAAGGAGCTCCTCTCGCCCATGGATCCTTCGTCCATTCCTTCTCTATGATGTTGATTGGCTCAGCGACATCGTCAACCACTGTACTGAACATGGCCCGGAATTGCTTGAGGACAGCCTCCCGCCGGTCTTCCGCCCGCAACTTAGACCACTGCCTACCAGGCTCAGCAACGTGAAAGCAGGTGATGCTGTACTGCCTGTCATCGGGTACGCAAGTGTCTCTGCTGAAAACGATTGGCCCAGTCTCTGACGCAATGGCGCCTGAAAAGCCCGCATCTCGCCACCAGGGCTTCTCGAAAACCAAGATAGTCTTCGAGTAGTATCCTAGTTTGGACTTGTTCAGTGCCTCTTTCGTGGGGGGGGAGGCTTGGCGTGAACTCGATCAACGGGTAGAGAGTTGACGGGACAGATAGAAGGACTTTCTTGCACCTATACTCTGGGCCGGGGCTGGTTGAGACCATACAGCCTTCGTCCGATTGAGTAATCTTGAAAACCGGCATTGAGAGCTTGACTGCCCCGGCGTTGAGATTTTCGGCAAGCCGGGCCGAGAATGTCTGATTTCCTAAAACCAATATTAGCTCGCACTAAACTTGCCGGAATACACTCGTATGACTTATCTTGGCGGTTTCGCAAGTACTTAGCACCGTCTTTGAGGTCTGAGGAGATGTTCTCCAGTCCCGTTCCAGCTTTTACGTAGTCGATGACAGGCAGAGCACCAACTTCGCTGCTTTCAAGACCAAGGCTAGCTCGCGACAGAACGTTCAAGACAACCGAACCGATGCCGCCTCTAATCTCCTTTTCTCCCAGCTCCGCGAGTGTGAGAGAGTCAGTCCTCTTGGCATCGGGTCCTAGCCACGGCATCTCTGGATCAGAACGGTCCACGAGAACAGCCATCTGCCCAAAGGTCTCATATAGCTGCGCTTGTTGCTTGTCGTCCAGCTATAGGATTCAGGTCAGCCGTTTGCAAATATCATCTCGATGCAATATCATGTTTTTGTGAAATATCAGAGACGTCTGCGACTTCCTGGAAATGGCATGCCAGAGTAAGGAAACTAGACCGTATTCTGCTTGTTATCTTGGTACAAGTTTAGCCCAGTGGCGGTTTGTTCGATGAGCTCGAAGCCAAAGTCTTTGGCTAAGCGGTACATCTCGACCTGGCTGGTATCATTGGTCCACGCAGCGCCAACATCGACAACGACGCCCTGAGGAGGAGCTGGAACTGACAGAGTCTTGCCGCCGACGCGATCCATGGCCTCCAAGACCTCGTATGATAGACCGCTCTTATGGATTTCAACGGCGGCACGGAGGCCGCTGAGACCTGCACCTACGATGACGACGTCAACATCAACAGGCTCAATAGGTGTAGGAGACTTTTTTGGCGATTTTTTGGGCGATTGCAGGTGTGAAAGAATATTTGGTAAAAGACCCTGTCAATTGTGATGACTTTGCTTCTCGAGCTGCACTGATTTTACCAATGAAGCCGCCAACATTAAATAGTGATTTCCATCAACGTCACGTTGGTGGTGCATCTCAACGTCTTACTTCATTGTTCAAAGTCCTATGTCTAGGTCATGGAGTCCGCGGGCTTCCTTCATGAGGGACGAAACTGTGTTCCGCTGGCGTCTTGCTGATGCGCGGAACAAATCCGCCAGCGAGCCCTCAGAACAAGGCGCCAAGATACGCCGCTGATGGATGTAAGCACGTCGTTCATAGCAGGTATTTCAACGCCAAGAAGCACTGCGTACACAAGTCTTGGCAAACCAATCTTCCGTACGCCGGCATCCTGCACCGTAGAAGCGGCATGAGAGGCGCCGGGGTCGGCCCCACTTCAAGCCCGATGCCGGGTTGTGGATCGGGTGCCGCGGCCTGCGGGGCGCATGTCTACGTCTCTCTCCAATGCACGTGCAATTCGAATACCGGGGCCCGAGAAATCCGCCTTCAGAGGTCAATGGGTTTGCAATATCGCTCTGGTTCTCACACATCGTTTTGCGTCATTTCTGTGAGCGCTTTGTTTGGTTTTGCTTCCCGTGGCAGAGATCTGGTGAAATCATGTTTGCAATTGTTCACCAGCTCAAAATGTCACCGCCCCACCTGGACATGGATTGATAAAATAACACTCACTCGTCAATCTTGTGGAGATGAGTTCTTCGCAGCTCATCGTGTTCCTCTCTGCCAACTGGAAATAGACCTACCTATCGTTTCTCCCTTGCCGTGACATCTCATTTTTTTCGAACCATGTCATGCCTTGCCTGTCTCCAATCGATGGTCAAGCTGCTTGGTATTGTTCTACAGTATAACGCAGCGACACTGATAACATCGTACAGTATACATAAAAGGTTATTACATACAGGTGGATTAGTCTTCATTCAGCTACGGAAAAACATCCTAGCTGCGTCCTGTTTCTTTTCACAAAGTAGAATCATACAACCACTTCAACGTGTGTACGCACTGAGAGAGCTTCCCGAGCTCAAAAACCCCTTCTTCGTATCCTCAACACGTCATCTTCACGCCACTAGGGCACCGGCAATCGGGGGCGCTGCTGCTGCCGCGGGCTCAGCGGGAGCGGCAGGTGCAGCAGGAGCGGCGGGTTCGGCAGGGGCAGCGGGAGCTTCGGCAGGGGGCGCGGCCGGGGCGGCAGCCGGGGGAGGACCACCGCCGCCACCGCCAGCACCCTGTGCCGGTGCCGGGACAAAGGCGGCGTTTGCGAGAGGGATTTGACCAACAGCTCCGCCGACAACTGTCTTTCCATCGACGTTAGCCTTGGCGGCCGCGGCGAGCTTCGAGTACTGAACGACTTGTTGCGCGTTTGTGCTGATTAATGGTTAGCTTCCATGTCACACTAATTCGAGATGAGTGCTACTTACGGGTTGATGACCAGCACCTGGCCCTCTTGACAGTGAGGCCCCGTGGCGCAATACATGAACATCGTGGCAGTACTCGTAATCGGCATGTTGAACGTTCCAACCATCGCCTGACCGTCCTGAAAAGGAATGTGTCCGCTGTGAATGGCGGTAGGCACCGTATCCTGCAGCGGCTGGCATGCTGCACCCTCCGCGCTCTGCGTGACCGTGTGGTTGCCGTTGCTGAACTGGAACTGTACGACATCGCCGACCTGCGCCGTGATCAAGTTCGGCACGAAAGTATCCTGCGCTCCGCCGACCACCACCGGGATGAGCTGATTGCCTTGGGGAGTAGCCGGAGCAGCCGGTGCCGCTTGTCGCCTGACTGTGTGAAGTTGTGAGCTTTAGTCCTTCGCATCACATTCCATGTCTCTTACTTCGGAAGGGTCGGTGAGGAACACCTCCCACTACAGTTCCATCAGGCGGGAAGGGATCTCTCTTGTTCAGCGGCTGCGGCATCGCGCTAACGGTGGCCGCTGCCATCAAGGCCCAAGCTGAAAGAACCCTCATATTGAAGCCGATCGCGGATCGAGTAAGAATCGAAGGGAAAGTCCGAAGGAATGACTGAAGTGAACACTGCTCAGCAGTGACTCGCGCCTGGCTGATTAAAAAAAGGGTAAATGACAGTAAATGCCGATCAAGAAAGAAAATCTCACGGCTTGCCCTCACTAGGAGGGACGGGATGAAGAGAAAGGAGTGAAGATGGAGACACAGGATGGTCAAGACCCAGATTCAAGTAACTCTAAATTTTGAATTATATTAGCTGCGGCGGAGGGCACATATTTGCATCCGAAAAAAGCGCGAAAGCCAAGACTCAAGAAGCCTTTCCCGGGTTGACTAATGACTGATGAAATCCAATGCCGACACAGGGGAATGCCCGAGTGGAGGTTCTCCGGTGTCTCCTCGCAGACGCACTACAGAGTCAAGACAACGAAAGACGAACTCCTCCTCAACCCTCCCTCGCGCCAGGTGGTTCAGGCTCGGCGTCATTGAGGCTCGTGCTGCCAAGATGTCTGATGATGTTCCGTGATGGTTTGAGGCTCTACTGGACGATTCCTCTTCGGGCAGTCGGAAGCTCGCAGGGTGGGTGGCGATCTAGCGGGAGATCATGTCGATTGGATCGTCGCCGTCCCTTCTCTCCACCGAGGATCATGGGATGGCGTAAGTCTGCGTTTCCGAGTTGAGATGTCAGTGGGGCCGAAGTGGGCGGACGGATCCCGACTAGGAGAACTCTCGCGCGCTTCTGGCGTTTCAAGTCGCCTTCAGGTGGTCTTTTTCGGCTTATGTGACGGGCCCCTTCCCCCAAGAAGCCCAAGAAATACCAAGAAGCACATGGTTTTGGGTTGCTCTGGAGGGAGGGTATCCACCCGCGAGACTGCGACGGCTTGTCAGTAGCAATGTCATGACATGATGACAGGCCTTGACAGCGCTCTCGTTCGGACTGTGCAGTCGGCACCTGCGTTCGGCAGGGCGCCAAGAGGCATGAACTGTCCGCTTAGTCAGTTCTACTGGGTTGACGGCTGAAACGACCGCCCAGGATCGAGACGAAAGAGGACAATGAATCCATGCTTCGGTAACGTTCCGTAGCGCGCGGGCGCGTTCGACCACAATAAATGCTCCGCTGCCCTCGCCAAAAGTTGGGGGCCTCGCCAAAAGTTGAAAAACATTGACGGGTCCCAGGAAGATCTCTCTGAAAGATCGCCAGCCTCAGCGTATCAACCAGCTCGTTCTTCTCGTTGGCAGTCTTGGTATGCCACGACGCCATTACGTCCACCTCTCGCACTTGCGACAGAGGCTGTGCTCTTGTCGATGCAAAACCAATAGTCTCCTCGCTCTGGACCGTTTCTGCGTGTCGCTTCCGCCCCACAGCTTGACTTGCCAAGAAACCCATGGCTCTTGGTAAAATCTCGGGTTTTCCGCCCGGTCTTCATCTGTCTGTTCCTGTCGCTATGTCAGATGGTGAGGAGCACCCTGCGACAATTAGCGCCAGGCACAACCCATCAAGCCGAGCCTCAACGCATGATGCCGTCCCCCCGAAAAGAAACTCTACCACGACGGCGCTTTGGATGAGAAGGTTTGTCAGCTAGACGCGCATTTTGCTTCATCATCTACCGACAATCTCTACCGATAACCAACTACAGCGAGGCCAAACATTGCCGGCCGGCATGACCTGTTCAAGCCCGATGGATTTTCGTCCGAGTGGAGCATCTTCAAGACTGTAGGCAGGTGCTGTAACCAACAGGAACACATTCGCAACAAGCAACCTCCTTGTCGCGGAGGCCAGGGGCGCGCCCATATTTTCCCCGGCGGCCGAAAAAACCGGCGCCGGTATTTGCTCCACTTCTGCCCTATGCGTCCGTTCTTGTCTGCCAATCGAGTTGATTCCGTAGATCGCGAATCACCATCAACATCATCAATTCAGTGGGCGAGAGGCGCATCTTAGGCGGCATCAAAGTTTTATGTTACGCCCATTTGTTCCAAATATTCTCATAGTCTAAAAATTCACGCGCATGAAGACACTCTGTGATTTTCTGCATAAAATGACTAGTTTGTAGGAAGGACGTCCCGTGATCTATGTGTCGAAGTTTTCCAACGTGGAAAAATATTCCGGCTTGCAGTCAACCAATATTATGACGTATGCCTTCCACTCACTATTCGCCTCACTTCGATTCTATTGCCACATGCCCACATGCGAGAGGTCACTCAGTCCATGAGGCGCATTGCGTCAGATAATCCGATTTGGTGTGGTGGAGTCCTCCATGTGTTTTGTTCGGTCCTACAAATCTAGCATAACCTTCTCCATACTGTTCCTGTTACCAATGCCACATCTTATCCCATCTCAAGTTTTCCACTGGTCCGATGAACGTGTGCCCATTTCGCAATCAAGACAAAACATTGGGGCACAAATCCTCGGAAACTGACCTATCCGTTGTGGGATGCTACAGAAATGCGATGACTGCCCTCAGGTATATGGGCCAAGAATCCACTTCCAATGCTTACTGGGGGTTTCGTCCGGACCTGGCTGTAACATGTTTTCACTCTTATCTCTGGCTGACAAACCGAGTCTCCCATGTGCAGGATGCCTCTGGCGGGACCCAAACTTCGGCAGCTGCACAACTTTCCAGCCCAAAACAAAGCTCGACTATCAAGGCAAATGATTCCAATCCAACATGTTGATCGTAGTTTTAAACAGGTGCTGAAACGTCTGATAGCGCAGGTTTTCGTCATTTAATGCGATTATCAATCACTGGTCTCCATCTCAGAAGACTTCTGCTACCCGCGAGGGTAGTAAGTATAGACGATAAAAAGGACGACCAAAAACCACGATAGAGGCAGGGAGAGGGATAGAG